AAATCAAGAAATATTTTACCAATCAACTATTTACTTTATGCAGAACCAGTACTGTATTGTCAAAGGGTTCATTTGCACTTTAAGCAAGAGGTCCATAGCTTGATCCTCAGTGACCTCACACACTTGTTTTAAGGAGCCAATGCTTAGTGCGCTACCTACTAAGTAGTCCATTGCTGTGCTCCTTACATGATAATACCTACCTCAGGTAGAAGATCAGCAGTAGCTACTTGTAATCCAGGAGTGGGAGCAGCATCAGAGATCAATGGAAAGGGAGGAGGTGGTGGCCTGACGTAAGGCACAGGGTATTGACCAGGATGGGGTAACATTTGATATGCACCTAGAAATGGAATATATATATTAGATTAATGATGGTCTTGCACGTAGGAGACAACTGCCACTATTTAGCAAACGTTTCACCAATTCAGATTTTTTTCACTGAAAAATTTAGTCTCAGTTGCAATTGAAAATTCAAAACAGTTATTTCTTTACGTCAGTTTTAACTTTTATTTATCATTATTTAGGGAAGCATGGGTGGCGTAGCAGTGAAAGCGCTCGCCTCTCATCTATGTGACCCAGGTTCGATTCCCACTGGGCTCGGTGTTGTATATGAGTAGAGTTGTTTGTTGGTTCTCTCCTGTGCTTCGAGGATTTTTCTCCAGGTTCTCTGGCTTTCCTCCCTCACCAAAAATCAACTCCTAAATTCCAATTCTATCACGGATCGAGGACCACAGGTTTGTTAGCCAATGGCTATTAAGTGCTACCCTCRTAAAAACAACTGACTGCCCATTAAATTATATGTGTAAATACCTTTATCATTAACACCAGGATGAAGAAACCTACAAGATACACCCCAAGTACAGCTGCCTATACACAAGAAAATAGTAATAATCATGATTAATAAACTGTCATTGACACTGGCACATCCATTAAATACAGCTGGGTTGCACACTAATTGTTGTTCTTTCTATAGCACTCTCTTTTTGTAATTCTTTACTATCAATTCACCATTTTCCATACATCAGTTCACTGGTCAAAAGCAAAGCATTCAGTCGAGGTTGCAAGGTTCAACTTTAAATAATCCTTTGAAAGTACCTTGGCGCCTCGCTTGAGCCCTTTGTGTTTGACCAGTGAACTGATGCATGGAAAAAGGTGAATAGACTTCACTCCTGGTAAATCCGTGTTTTGACTGGGAGAAGGGGGGGGGTACAATTGACATTTGGAAGCTTTGAGGATATTGTAGGTTGTACATGTATATGTTTCTTGATTACTGGTTTTGTATAAAAATATTCATGGAATAATAAATAGTCAATAGAACACTTTGTTTTGACTTAACAGTCCCTAGTCTCCCCCCCAGTCAACTCTAAAACCTTATGTGATTGACAGTAAGCAATTTAAATACACTTGATTTCAGTGGTCTCTTTCAGGGGTATGTATTTTTGAGGAAACTATACACAGAATAACAAAAACGTCCTGTGTGAAATGTAGCTAAAGAAAACAGGTGACAAACACAACACAAACTTTCAATACATTTATGCAGAATTACTGGCATTTTAACAAAAGTGCTGTAAAGGCCGGTTTAGACGGTACAATTTTCACCTACAACTATCATATACAACACGCTCGCTCCATCCTACAACTCGAGTCATAGCGTGTAAATCAAGCCTACAACTGCCCTACAACAGACACGAGTGTGTTTTATACRATATTCGTAGGCGAAAATCGTACCATCTAAACTGGCCTTAAAGCAATCAACCAGCATACTTCTCCTATACTTTTTTATGGACACTTTAACATTATGTGGGGTGGTTATTGACAAAACGTTTTGAGCTTACAGCAATAAATGCTGACTAATTATCAAAATGATTTACCTGAGACAAAGTATCTACAAAGCTTCCTAGGCACTCTGGATCCTAGGATGATTATAAAACAAAATATTACATTGTACATTAAACAAAAATTAATAACACAGGCTGCACATACACATCACTTGTGGATTCCCTGTCAACTGAACAGAGATAGTGACGTGGCAATGACATCACTGCATAACTGAGGTGTTATGAAGCCAGAAGAATAAAAAGAATAAAAACATGCCCGACAATGCAATAAAAATATATAACTAATTCATTATTGAAGAAAATAGAAAACACATGTGTGCTGTGTGCAGTTATAAAGCACGCGGGGGTTGGCAGGACACAAGAGAAGTGTTAGGAGAAGCATGACGTGTATCGGAGTGCTTCTCGACACTTCTCAAGTGTTCTGCCAATCCCCAAGTGCTTTATAACTGCACACAGCACAGCAAGCAAGTTTTTAAATTCTTTTATAAAATACAAATTATAGGAATGACAAAATTGAAAGTGCACGCGTGGTGTGTGCTCTCATAAAGCACGCGCATCAAACCAATCAGAACACGAGATTTATAACAGTCATTTTATAATGTGTTATTGTTATTAAGCACTTTTTAGCAATGCYATTTTTTCATTTGGTGGTCTGGAAATCCATAACTTCAAGGCGATGAGTGACACCTCAGTTTTTTTCTCAGATCAGCTGGTGATACATGCTCTTTGGGGAGTAGCAATATTTATAGCCATTTTTCTTTTTACATATGACACAAGCATGTTAGAGCACGAATCCTTAATGTGTGACCAGATTATTCTATGCATTTCATGTAAACTTGGTGTTAAATTTTGCCTAAATACATAGAGATAACTGATATCAATTTTACTCACAAGTTGCCATATAAAGTCRCGAACAAGCGAGTCCACAAGCAAGTGTGCCATATGATATAGAAAACAAGTGAATAAAAAAGATATCAGGCTCTTAACATGTAATAATTTGTTTATTACACATTTAGTTTAGATACAATAATAAAACTCACAGTTTCAGTTTACCACGAAGTGATATCATATCACTTTACTGATATTGTTTTTATTCACTGCTTTATCACAATGATAYCAAAGCTAACTGTGTTATAAAGTACAACACTGACCTTGATTGGATGAGTAAGGATCAGCATCCCTCACTTCACCTTCCTCCAAGTCATCCTAGAATAACAATCAGTTATCATGATCATACATTCAAAGAAACGTTTGTGAGGATTTATAGGGAACAATAGACCCTTGCAGCACGTTGGAATGCAGCTCAATTTGGAGGACAATAGGTTCACAATTCTCAGGAGATTTAGATTATTTTGTTTTGTCCTCCAAATTGAGCTGTTTTGACGTCACATGCAAGTGGGGTATCCAGTGAAGTTGCCTGTGAGTTCAATATAACAGAGTCTGAGAGTAATGGTGTTGCATCTTATTGGCCCTCCATCTCCCATCGAAAATTTTTGTTTTGCTAAGTTACATGTAAACATGATAAGGTGACACCATTGCAACACCAAGAAAAACCCAAAAAAGTAGCCAGCAGTTAACTTCCAAGCAATGGCTGGAGCTCCAGCAGCCACCTACCCATTCTGAAAACCCTGTGTCTAGAAAAATACTTAAACATAGAAATAAAAAAGTACTAAAATAGTTTATGTTATGAAATTTATTACTAACTTCATTTATTTCCCCTTCTTCTATATTCTTCTTCTTCTTAAGATCATCCTAAAAAATCAAACAAAATATTAAATAAAGGAAAAGGTTTGAACCCATTTTGGTTATCATGTGACCAGCACAACCCAATTCAACTGGATGAATTTATAACCGTGGAATACTGSAAAATGCACAACAGCTTTCTTCCATTCTGATTGGCTGTATTTCCAGTGGATTGTGCTGAAAGGTCATATAAGGATAATATACATCATCATCATTTTTTAATTATTATTCCATTCAAGAGATTACATATTGAGAAAATTTTAATTTCATGTAAAATATCTTTTTCAAGGATAGTAGGCAGCTCAAAAGAGAAACCAAAGATACCAACCTTTTCATCTTGGTCTGACAAGATCTCTCCTTCTTCTCCATCACTGTTGACTTCACCATCTTCTAGTTCACCCTCCTCACCATCACTTTCTTGTTCTTTGTTTGGTGTCTTTTTTGGTGTTTCTTGTTTGTTGTCAGAAGCTTCTAATATTTCACCTTCATCTTCTTCGTAATCCAACTCTCCTTCCTGGAAGCATAAGGAGTACATGTATGAATCCTATAACCATTATCGTGAAAGTGTGACCCACAAAAAAATTACAGTGCGACATGTCTAACAGTGGCCACCCAACTTTTTCTTTACTGTTGAATCTGAAGACTTTCCACAAAATTGTCCAGTGTTAGCCAGCAAAGGGAAACTAAGATAGGTATCACCTATCACCTAATGGCTATTCCTAGCCATTGAAGTTTTTGTCGTGAAGTGTGCGGAATAATTTTAAATATTTGTGATTTGCATCTTGTGCAAGTTCACGTGCAAATGCACAAATTCTAGCTGTCTGATCGGCTAACTAGTAAAAAATAGGTGTGGTAGCCAAGGTTATGCACGTCGTACTGTAATGTGTCCTTTGTTGAAAACAAGAAACAAGAATATGTCCCATTTTTCGTCTTTCCCTATCTCTTCTTACCTCTCCTTCAAGAATTCCATCTTTGCTGTTCTCATTGTTACTAACAGATGTAGATACTAGCGGAGTAGGCTCCTTGTGATTCATCTTGTTATCCCCCTCAAGGCTTATTTCTCCTACTTTTGTCACTATCTCAGTATCTCCTCTGTCAGGTGCTTGGTCCTGTTCATTGTTATTAGATGCCGAGGAATCAACAGCTACTGGAGAACTTTCTCCACTCTGTTTACTCATGATGTTCTAAAACCAACAAACATTACATGATATAAGTTTGTTATATCATTTTATCAATACTCTGAAACAACCTCTGGGCTGATAAAATTCAGGGCACAGCTAACTCACTGATGAAATTGGAATCTAGTATGTTAGCTTTGCCGAGGGATGAAAACTGGAGAACCCAGAGAAAAACCCTTGAATCAAGGGAGAGACCCAGGAACCAATACTCACATGTGATGTCAAGTCTAGGAGTTGGACCAATGACATGACAATAAAGGTGAGAGTCAAGTGCACTTCTGTTACACTACCAATGATTCTTACCAAAGATGAACTTAACCTATATTTAGCAATAAGTCAAAGAGTAGGTTGAACCTGCTTAAAATATTAATATGAAATCTGACTGAAACAAAATAGAAAGTTTGAAAATGGAGGTATAACCATGATTGAACATATCCACTGTGTAGATGCTCTCTGGTTAGGTTCAAAGCCTTCAGGTTGGAAGCTGAAAGCTTCTGTCTTTAAAAATCTTAACTAGTATAGAAAACATCTATGCAGTCAATAAAAAAAACTGTTGCCGAGATGACAAAGTAAAAACACTAGTAAAAATAAGTGTCGAAAAATAAAAAGATTTGAAAAATGAATGGAAACTTAGGCAAATAAATCAGCAAAAGTAATAACAAAAAAGAAACAATAAAAATGCCCAAATATGAAATAATATTAAATATGAAGAAAATTTATCTGAAAATCAGACTTTCTTAATAATCAATTTAATACAAATAGAATGAAAGTACTCCTGCCTTGATTCTATCTTTTAGGGGGGGAGGGGTGAGAGGGGTGAGAGGGGTGAGAGGGTTGCCTAAAGCTGTCTGGGAGACAGTGGCTGTGGCCACACTTGGGCGTTTAACTATAGTTTAGCAGTAGTTTAGCTTAGTTAAATGACGTAATACAAACTATAGTTATACTCTTTCATATATGGTTAAACAACTTTGAGGTCACACATGTGAGGTTTAACCATAGTTACACCAAGAACGACTCACACTTCTGTGACTTATCAG